GCCAGCATGGCACGGCACCCACGCTGCCTATCCAAGGGGGCTCGGCTCGCTCTGCCCGACCGGCTCTGCTCACATCCCAGCGTGCCAGCTGAGGCACGGGTTGGCGGTCCAGGCCAGGAGCCACGTCTGCAGGGATGCTTGGAGCTCGAGCTCCTTCCTGGTACAGACACGCATGGTAGATACTGATGGCAACAAACCGTAGTTCAGGCAGGAACAGGGGCTCACCCTGTCAACGCTCTGGATCAGCCTTGCTAAGCACATAGAGCCTCTGCTTCATTGGTCTGAGAGTCCAGCATAGCAAAGAAACACTGGAATCTTCCACATTTATTGAGCTGAGAGGGTCAGATGTGATACAAGTGATAGAAGAGCTGAGGACTCCCGTGGCACTGCCCATGCATGGGAGTTTGTGAGACTGGAGGCCAGGCTCATGGGCAGAGAGCTTCCCTGAACTAGCACCGCATTCCCACATTTGTGCTCAGTCCCTGCTTTCCCAACTGCCAGCATCACGGACAGGGACTTTCAAGAGCAGCCTCCAGCCTTTTCCATACTGTATATATTCCAGGGATTTTCTTTAATGAATAGTGATCTCTTTGGAAGGATATAAAGCATGGATTTCTTTTCTCCCAACACATAAAGGGATATTTATTACACTATCAAACAGATCTTGAAGCCTAAGGTAACCCATCTGCAATACCTCTGCCTTTCAGAAGTCAGCAGAATACACGGATCTATCGCTGTGGTACTCTGCAAATCCACTTTCAAAATACACTGCATACAAAATAACTCGCAGAGACTTAAATACGTTAATAACTTAAGCACCTAAATAAGCTGATATTTGATGTGACCTACATTAATGGGGAGGCATTACATGGCAGATAAGCAGAAAGTTCTCATCTATTGTATAATACATGATTTATTCATACCATAAACATACTGAGAAAAGGATATGCTCTGGCATTCTGTCTACTTATTTTTTCTGCAGGAAAAAAAAATATGTAAGAAGATCATTCTGGTGAGAAGATATTCATATCACAACAGCAACAGACTTAGTGGCAGGGCTGCCAGATACTTCTTTATGGTTGGAAAGATATAGAGAAAAGCGCATAGGTTGCACTGCAGTGCACCCATAATTCTAACTACCAGCCTAAGAGTGGAAGCAGTTCATAGAAGAGGCTAATGGCTTTACCCTGACTGATATCATTGCATTAATAAAAACCATCAATAAAAGTTTTTTGCTGTACTGTAAATGAGACAGTGGCTGGGTGTGCACTGCAGCTGCAAGATAAGGCACTAGAAAGATATCTAAATTTTTGGCTAATTCTAGATGTCAAGATAATTGGATTTTCCAAATTAAACCTTTCTGTATTTAAAGAGGATTAAGGTTAGAGACTGTAGCAGGGAAAGCTACTGTCACTGTTATGAAGAATTTGCTGCTACAGTGCCATTTTTCTTCTTCTATGTCTGCTCTAAGCAGGCAAAATGGCAAGAGCTTCATAAAAAATATTGAAGTAGTTATATCACTTGCCATCAAAAGTTGTCACAGAAAAGCTTTGTTTCTTGTGCATCTACCTATTCATTTAAATACAAGACTGTTTAGGATAAAATCTTACTAAAATATCTGTGAAATTACTAGATATGGTGGAATGTAGAGATATTGCAGAGCCAAGGTACTTAGAGAAGTATGTGGTGTTGGGTCAAAAACCTTGATAGAAGTCAGATTTGTTGTTTAGGAATGTCTTTTGGCTTTTTAATTGTCATGATAGCAACGTACATCGCTCAAACTTTGTGAACACGTGTGTTTCATGAAAGAATTAATTGCTATTTTAATAGATGTTCTGACAATATAAATACTCCTTGAGACACTTTGGCTCCAGATGGTTTCTCTGCAGATTTTCTCTGATTCCCCACACTTCCAAAACAGGGATATAAACCTCCTGACATAGCAGAGCATGAGTCAGTCCCATAACTACAAAAAAAAAAATCTTCCCTATCATCAGATGACTCTGCAGGCTCTTCTTGAGAGATTTCTTGCATCTTTGCTGAAGCAGTAGATTTTGTTCGCTGCTGAGGTAAACCACCACTTTCCAGGGGCTTATGTCAACCATAGTCCCTACATTATTGTACACTGCTAGAGGAGATCTTTCTTATGGTTAAAGGTCATCTCAAGGACTTCATTTTTATCACTCTGCTGGAATGAAGGCTGGAGTGTAGCACCATGTGATGAGATACCACTGCAGAGCTCACTTGCAAGATGTGCAAAAAAAAAAAAAAATCATCTCTCTATTGCTTTTATCAGTTTAGCAGCTACCACCACACTCATGAAAGAGCCTGACATTTCTTCCATTCCAAGGCCAGAAGAGCAACATGACCCCTGATGTACCTGAGAGGAGATTGCAGAAAGGACCCTTAGATGGAAAGACACCAGACACACGCACATAGGAAAAAAGAGTTATCCTGTCCTCCCTGCAAGGACTCTGCTGAAAGTCCATTGGAGCCCTTGCAGTCCTCTCCACAGCGTGACTCTATCTTGAGTAGCTGCATGGAATACAGCACGACAGATGATGTTCTGTAGGCAATCCTGTTTCCTGGACACGATGCCAGATATTCATCCACGGGCATGGACTCCAGTGCATAAAGACTTAAGGAGAAAAATCCTTAGGGATTTCATCATATAAAGTTTTCTCCTCCAAAGTTTTTATGAGCTGAAGTTTTATATCCTTAAAGACTTTACCCCATAAAAATCCAAGAGGATAATAAAACAAATAGCATCTATGCTCAGGGTCAGTAGCTTGGGGAAAAAAAAAATGTTCTTGGGTAATAATAATACCTTCAGTAGCAGTATTGACCAGAACCTACAGATCTGTTCTTTTCCCTGTTGGCTGACATTTTACCGTTATTGCCCTTCGAGCTAGTCACTATTTGCATGCTGTGCAGAGTAGCCATGGGTCCATGGCAATGCAGAGATATTATAGGCATGACTTTGAACTGTTCTTGAGGATGATAAAGCCAAAAGTGAACTTCGCAGGCAGAACACAGAGCTTGTCTGGTCCAACTGCTCATGTTTTCATCTTGCTGCCTCACTCCTTAAATTTTAAATATGAACTGTACGAATACACCTCAAAATCACATTCACATGCTCGTATTAATCCAGATGAGGAAATGGTTGCCAAGCTCTAGAAAATCAGCAGAATACCCAACATCTCACACAAAATAAGGCTGACCTAATTCTGTGCCTATATTTATACAGGAAATTCAGTAAAACTTGAACAAGTAGCCTTCTGTTTTTAAAAAATAAACCTTGGAAAGCTAGACTGGTCCCATTGTTTTGCTACTGATCCTCTAAGAGACCTGAATGACAAGATAGTTGAAGTCCATAGAAATATGAAATCTGAAAATCATTTTCCTTTAAATCAGTGCAGACTGGTAACTATTCCTGCAGGGAGGAACATGCACGGATCCATTCATGGGCCTCCGAGCTCTTGGCAGCAGGACGCACTTGCTATTTTCTGGTCTGATACCTCCATATCTGTGGCATTATCCATGGATAACATGGCTGTGCCTGGGGAAAGCTGGAACTTTCCCTCCTCACCAGGGGAAATGTTATTGTTGCCCCAGGTGGTCATGATACTCTTACACACATTTGAAGCTTGTTAATTTTCCAGGGCTAAATACTGTCCACTCCAGCCTGCTTCCATCCAGTAAATGCAGGATAATGGGCTGATTAAATATAGTAATCTAAAGTATAACCAAATCCTCAGTGACACCCTTGACGCCCAGGAGGCAGAGCATTTGGTGTAAGAGGTGCATGTACAGCAGCCTATCTCAATATCTGCTCAAAACAATTATAGCGTTTCTATGGTATTTCTGCACACCCCATACCCATAAACAGGATGGAAATAAAGGGGCATAAAACCATAGCAGGAGATCTGTTGTCTAAAGCCGTTAAGGAGAAGGACATAGATACTTAACTAATTGGCACTTTCAGCCTTCATTCCTGGGTCGGTGGGAGCAGTCGACAGATAAAAAAATTACTCAGGGAGGCACTCTACGTCTTGGATAATTTTGCATAGGTGGAGGATAGACCAGAGAATAAAAGTGAGGACTTGCCAAAAAAACACCAAGCTCATCCTACAATGATACTTTCTGCAAATCACTTCAGTGTATAAGGTGATCTGGGAAGTTCTTACACCCTGTTAAAAAATATAGCTCTTTTCCTCTCATGCCTTTCTGACCTGAAACGGTGCTGAACGGGGTAGTACCCACAGCCCCAACCTGGGAGGAACTGCAGCCCCACCTCCCTTGCACCGATCGGTAAGGGTACCGAGCGAAGCTCTTTCCAAGCTGGTGGCTCCTCCTGGCAGTTCCAGCACCAGTTCTTTGGGGTCGGCTGAGTGTGAAATCCACCTCTCCGCATAACATCAGCACAATGCATCATTTGAGTCATTTTTAAGGGATGGCAAGGTTCACAAGCTTCATGTTGCCCTCTGCACAAGAGTGAATTTTACTTTTAATGCAAATGGTGTCTAAATGCCATATTTTAAGACTAATATTCCATATAGGCACAGTGCCTGATTCACGCCAACCCAAGGGGTAATATGAATGCTTAGTATTGTTTCAGCAGCTCCCAAGGACTGAATAAAGCCCCCAGATGAAAGATGTGACCTTCAGAGAGCATGGAATCACTCTTTCTTTTCATCTAAAAGATAATTTATCTAATACTTTTCTCCTCATTGAAGACATAGGCTCGCTGCACTGAAAACTGTTTACAAATGTTCTTTCTCCATTAAATTGATTTTCTGAGTATAGATAGGCCATGTTTTCTGGAACTAATTTAAATTCCCCTCTAATTAATATTCAAGACCAAAATATGTTATCTTTGCATGACTGTGCAATTATTAAAGGGAAAATATCATCTCTGAAAGTAATTATTTTTCTTTTTTCTCATTTTTTTTAACTAGCCGTTAACCAACATGAAATATATAATTTCTTTGCCTTTTTAGGCTATGATTGAAGAAGCCATCACTACAGCAGTATCTTTTTCAGTTATGTACACACCATTTGTGAAAGAAGTCAAGGCTGACAAAATAAAGGAGATAAAGGAAATGTTTGCTGAAAAGCACCCTGATTATGCGGAGCACATATATACAGGTAACAGCAGATTTCACATGCTCTTAAGCACTGTATATAATGTGGCTGACAAAAAGAGTTTAAGAGAGTCTGGAGCATGAGCCTTTACATTTCTATACTTCTGGGTAGGGGGAAATTAACTTCTGAGATTTGCTCTGTGACTGTACATGATCACAGAATCATAGAATGGTTTGGGTTGGAAGGAAAAATAAAGATGATGCAGTTCCAACCCCCTCCCCATGGACAAGGACACCTTGCACTAGGACCAGGTTGCTCAAAGCCTCATCCAGCCTGGCCATGAAGACATGAGGTAGGTAGTCAAATCTTAGGTGAACCACAGACTTTACACTGCAAATCCCCCTAAAGATGATTTTTATCCATGAAACCTCATGTTTCAGTTGTTGAATTTGATTCTTGTAACTAATCTTTTGGTCAAAGGTAGATTTGCAGTGCATTGTGGTGACCCAAGCAAGACCCAAGCCCATTTCTACCATCTCTATGGATTTCCATAGTTCACTGATGGTCATCCCTGCAGCAGGGTCTTCGCTTTCCAAAAATATCCTGCCTTCTGTGAGCACGGATGGATTGACTGCCACCTTTGAGCTCAACTCAGCTGCAGGGATGGGAATAATAACCAGCTTTCCTTTAGCCTGTTGAAGACAAAGGATCCTGAGTGAACAAGGGTTTTGCATCTTCAGGCAGAGTGAATTCAAATTGCAGCTCCTGGAGTAAACAGATGCTTAAATTCTGGTGATCACAGCCTTATTTCAAGAGGAATGGGAATATTTTGGCAAAAGAGAAGCAGAGGAGGGAAGACTTTCTTACTATCATTAACGTGGTGACTTGGAACATAGTTGACCCTGATAATGCTTAGCTTTGAGTTGGTGATTGAGAAAACTAAAGGGAAAAGTACACTTCTCACGTCAAATTCTGAAAGCCTCTATCTTTGTCACACAAAGGAGATGTGTAGCTCGTCTCTCACTGCCACTTCCAGCAGGGTCACACAAAAGGCTGAGGTGCTGCCCGCTCCCTGCAAGAGTTACACCCGGGTCAGAGTGCTTAGTCCTTGCAGCACCGCTGAGCACCAGCACTCAGGAGATAAATAAGGTTTCCAAAAAGGATACACACTGTGCCTCTGGGGAGGAAAAGAAAACCTATTTGAAAAACACAAGAGGAATTAGGAAAACTGTGCAAATATTTAACACAAGTAAACTTCTTTTGTTCATTTTTCTTTTGCTTTAGGAACCAGTGTAAAACTAGATCATGTTTTGCAAGTTGCAGGCCACCTGTGTATTGGGTTTCTGGCAGTAGTTTTGGGGTTGTTTGAAGAGGGAAAATGAGGACTTACCTGTGACAGAGGTTGTAAAATCCCTGTTTGTTTACTTGCTGATGTGGCTTTGTGGAGAATTTCATGGGAGAAAAGTATTGGCATTAAAAGGGGCATAAAATAAAACTCCCTGAATCTAGTTTTTTTAAAAAAAGAACACTTCATATTTCACATAACCCTCTCAAATTTACAGCAAGGGTGGGACTTTAAGGAGCACATAAGCAGCAAAAGTGAACTGTTGCACTGAAACTCAGTGTGTGTCCATAAATCACTGAATGACTCTGAAAGGGTCACCTGTCATTTTCTTACTCCTTCCAGTATGGAAAAGGAAGAAGGAAAATAAAAGGGGGGTAAGAGATCTCAGACCTAAAGTACTTCAATCAATTACAAAACATCGAATAGAGCCAGTTCTGTCCTCAAATATGTTTGTTTACAAGAATCTATTGGATAAAAGACTGCTTCCATTTCACACAAATTTCTCTGAGTGCAGGGATGGCTGAAGTTTCTAGGAATTAAATGGGATAGATAGTCAAGAAAAAACAATATGGGTATTAGGGTTTTGAGAGTACAGCGGTGTGAGAGGTCTCACACAGTCAGGACCTCTCCCGACCTCCCTCGTTTCTGTCCTGCAAACCCTCTCACAGCCAGCAGACGTGGCTCCTTTTCCTGGGCTTGATGCTAAGATAACTTACAACAGTGTTAGGTGAAGTCAACCAAAGCACTAGGGGTTTCTAAACTTATCTACTCTGACCCAAAATCTCCCTGCCCACCCAAAAGAGACATCACAAGCAACAAGTTTGGCTCATTGTTGGTGTGGTATCACTGAGCTTTTGACCCGCAGGTCTGTGCCTCACACAGGGGAAATTAAAAATACAAGCTAAGCCCCATTTTAACAGTGGGTGTGAAATACCAGACATCTCACAAACATGTTATTTTAAACAATCTTCCTATTCTGTAACAATCATCTGTCGAATTTTAGTCCAAGTTCTGCTGTGGTGTAAGGACTGAATTATTTCAAAGTTTTCCACACTGCCCAGGAAAAGGGGCAGATACACATTTAAATCCAAGTGTACAATGCAGTTTGTTGCAAAATCGGGAATCCTTCAAAAGCAGAACATGCTACAAGGGAAAAAAAATCAGGTCCACTCGCTTTGATTTATATAGGGGTGAGTCCGGAGAGCTCCGAGTGGGGTTCTTCATTTGTCACTGTGACCGCGCAGCCTGGCATCTTAAAAGCAGAGCTCACTGAAAACAGAGCACTCCTTTGTGAAAAGTGGCACTGACATTCAATCTAAGTTTATTTTTTTGCAGAGGAAAGGGAGGGAGAAAAGGACTGGTCTGGTTTCCTAAGCAAAGGTGGCTTACACAATTGCTCTGAGCATCTGTCCTCGCTGAGGTCAGGGCAGACCAACTCAGCTGACACACAGGCTTTTTGGACAAGCCACGGCACAGGCTGTTACGTGCCAGCTGAGAGGATCAGAAAGAACACGCAGGAAGCCTGGGATTATAGTGGTGGTGACGGTAAAAGCATGAATCTCTAGGAAATCAAACCTCATAAATTCAGGGAACAGTAAAGCAAGGGTTTTTTGCAGTTAAAAGATGAGGATGTTACTGAGGTGTTGAGTTATGAATGCTTTGGATGATCAGCATTGAAAAATGCATAAATGGGAAGAATGTGTTTTATTTCATGCAACAGCAAAATTTAAGCTGTTGATGAAAAAGGTTGCAATATCTGGAATTTCAAAACCCAGTTAACAGTTGGGTGGGTTGGTTTGGTCACCTTTGTTTTGGCAAGCTTTATGGACTACTTTACAGTCCCCCTTAGACTTCCTTCTTTTTCCTCAAAAAAAAGTAATTTCTCTTGCAACTGAAAAGAAATGTGACAGTGAAAATTATTCTCACTTCCCTGTTGCAGATCTGCGTGGACCTCACGTCTTGCCACAGACATCTGAGTGGCCGTTCCTGCAGCCCCAGAAGTACTTATTGACTCTGGGTTTCAGAAGCAAACGTATCGGAAAAATCTTGGAAAGGTGTTTAAGTAAAAAAATGCCAATCTTTTCAGGTATGCCAACTTGCTTAATAACTGGGGTAGCTCAGGGGTGACCTCCGTGAGCATTCCTAAATGAAGGGGGTCGGGGGGATTCTCAGGACCCGTTTCTCTGAGCCAACAGCCCTGACTCTGCAGACAGCTCTGTCCATCCTCTTCCTTTCTCCTCCAGTTTACCCATCATCTTGCTATATCCTCTATGGAAAATGTATATGAATAAAAACAGCATACGATTTTGTGATTTCCATTCCTAGACCGGAAAGCACCTTTCTGTCCTGTCACAGAAGAAGAAACTAAAAATTTCTGGGATAACACTGGGAATAAGATCGTGCCAGTAATGGATTTTATAAGAAGCACCAAATTAACTGTGAGTATAAAACTTGCTTTCTGGTGTGCAGTGTGTCCGGCAGCAGAAGTCTGTGTGTGTGTGAATGGCGTGTGCTTTTTGGTGGGTAATTCACTCTGCACATGCTTCTTCTGTGTCCAGAAATGCTGAGCTAATTGCATTAGGAACAGAGTTCAATTGGGTTTTAGATACTTTTAAAAAGTAGCCCTAATTATTTAACAGTGTGCTCAGTTTATCTAAAATGAATTTGCATGTAATTTTCTCAAATCTTTATGGCCTATTATATTATATCCCTACTTCACATACCCATCAAAACTACTTGCTATATTTAATACCCATAGTATACTACAAATATCAGCAGGATCTCCATCAAGAGTTAATAATTGCTACTTGAAGCATTTCTAGTGATTTAGATCCTGATCCCTATGTAGTGAAGTATGTGAAATAACCTTCAAATCTGTTATAACCATACTGAAGGTATATTAGTTAATTCTACTCCATACTTTCTGCAATAATGTACACAGCTTTTTAGCACCATGGCTTTTGATTAGCACAAAAGGTCAAAAATCAAATTTGCATGTAGACTAGACTGTTTTAATGCAATTCTTAAATTATTCTCCTGAAAGTAAGTGGAAGCAGCCTCTCCTCCCCAGATTGTAAATGCTAATGTTAACACTTTTTCCCTAGCAATAAGGGTTTTTTAGTTTTCTGTATGTTGAAGGAAACAGAGCCATTTCATCGTCAGGGGTGTCTTAGCAAATCACAGGATTTATATTCTTAGGTTTTGATACCAGCTAGGAGGTTGACAAAAACTGCTACTTAGCAACCCCTAGCAAGGAAGAAACATTAGCTAAATGTTTGAGGAAGCTGTATCTCCTTTACTCTCAGAGAGCAGCTGCTGAAACAACAGCAAGCGCCTGAACTCACATGCTTAGTGGGAGGTAAAGGTGCTCAGCACTTCGCCAAAATGGGTGCTCATAAAACATCTGCATGGGTGTGAGGCAGGTGGAGCGGGCAGACATCCCCAGGGAAACACACAGCTGCTTCTTTCCAGCTCTTTCCTGAAACCATGTGCTGTTGGCTTCAGATGACCAAAGGCCCAAGTTACTGACGTGCAGGCGTACATCTTTGGGAAAGTGAGATATCTGTTATTGCTGTGTGCACCACACTTCGAACATTTAAGAAGGCAAAAGTATGGGCAGAAAGTGGGCTGGGTACTAGACTCAGAATAAAACCCTGTTCTTTCTTAAAGCCTCAGTAAAAAACCAGTTTTTAAAAATTATCTTGGTGCCACAGTTCTCTCTTCGGGTATAGCGTATAGATTTCAGAGGTGACTGCACTATTGCAGTTCTTCAGTTTCTAAAGAATCAGGGAGAGAAAAAACTTTGACATCAGATATCTTTTGAATTTCCCATAACTACCCTATTCAGTAGATGAATTTGGAGGAACAGGACCACGTGGTTCAAGCAGATGCACGTGGTATCTTGTATCCAGGGTACAGGAAAAGATGACAAATTAGTCATGTAAGAGATGAGAGCAGCGTGGTGCATTAGGGTTGCTCAAGCCTGTCCCCACTACCCGTATGAATTTACACAGTAATATTTTCTACCAGCTCTAGACCTCACCTCGTACGTTTAAATATTCTTGCTAAACCAGAAGAGGGCTCCCAAAAATAGAGGGTGAAGTGCCAGCACCACTGAAGTCGGCAGCAATCCTGCCGTTTTCCCAAGGAGGTCAGCACAGCAGCCAGGTGGCTCAGGCAAGGTCTACCCAAGGGTCACCTCCCACAGCAGCACGAAGGGGATAGAGGGTCTGAATCATAGTCCTATGGATTTATAACCAGCCACCGGCGGGTCAGTATGGCAGCTTTAATGGACAAAAGGAAAGCCCCAACATGAAAGAAATTATTGAGTTAGAACAAACAGCTGTCAGTTCCACATCCGTTATCAGTGGAAACACGTTCACTTTCCCTTCAGTTTTCCGAGCATTGCATGATCCGGGCAAGACAGAACCTCTGACCCCAGGAGCAAATGACAAAGCCAATTATACCTGATAATACAGATTGGGTAAGAGCCAGAACTGCTCTGCTACTGGTGATTAAAATCTCTTTATGGGCCTGGCAGAGATCTGGACACTTTTGTTTCCTTGAAAGTATTCCAAAATTTCCTTCAAGCCAGAAATACTATTCCATTGTATTTCTGTCACACACAGACTAAATTAAGAACTTATGCAAGACAACCTTCAGATAGACTCTAGCTTTACTATTTAAGAAGATGAAAGAAAATATTTGTTTTTAATAGAACAAACACTCCTTTCTGCCCTCTTCTTCCTTTGCAGACACAAATGTACAATCCAAAACGCTTGTCCTAATCAGATGTTTTTTTACAAAAACATGTTTTTTTACAAAAACATCTTGGTGCTAAAGCAGAGCTTATTAAGCCATGGCACACTTAATATAAGTCAATTCTGCACATCAGTTTTGCAGCTACACAACCTAGAGTTAATTATGATTTATACACACTCCACTGTTGGCAAGACATGAAGTTAAAGGTTAAAAAAAAGCAGAGCATTTTGTAGCTAATCCCTCTCTCCCTCCCTGCCCCCCCCCCCCCCCCCCCCCCCCCCCCCCTTCTTCATCAAGAACAGCCAGTCCCATTTAAATCAAGGGGACATTTGTGTATTGTAAAGCAAGAGGCGTCTGAGGAAGGATGTCACAGTCTGGTCCCGGCGTAGCATCATCTGCTGCTGGTGGGGAAATGCCATAAACCACATCCACCCAGAAATAGAGTGTGACACAAAGGTTACTGTATGTGCCTTAAAATATATATATCAGTCAGACCTTCAGCTACTCATGCTCCAATCAAGACTACCAGCTCTGACAAGTGCTTATTCTATCAAGTGATTTCACAGGGGTAATTTTTGTGCTTTGTACCCACCAAGTTTGCCTTTCTCCTGCCGTAGTTCCCTGTTGATGGCACATGATGCTACTTAACAGGAGACACAGTGGCTGAAGGGGCTTATTAGACTGCTCATCTTACAAAGGTGAACAGAACTGACCGTATGATTCACAGCATGATGCATTTACAGATCTCACCGGTTTGTTGTCTATTTTTTAAGTAGAGGGGAAGTGTTTACTACATACGGATTTCAGCATACACATTTTCTGGAGGATACCAAGGGCATTAAGGAAACATTATGATGGATTTTTTCCGCTTGTTATTGTAATACACTACAGAGCTGCTTGCAGGGCATAACTTCATTCAGATTTTGAACTGAAAAATACACTCCACAATGGAAAAGAAGAACTACTGGGGGGCATTCTAGACTCTTGCAAAGTGGTGCTCTTAAAGATGATAGTTAAACATGCCACGCATATTGGATGTGACAGATACCTGCTCTAAATCCAGGCCGACCAGCCACTTCGCTTTTCTTTTTCTTTAGCATTCATCAATTAAACTTCATTTATAAACAGAAGTGGCATAAGGAATGACTCCCTTCTTGAGCACAGACAAAAGCAAAAAGCAGGGTATCATCTCAAAATTCTCAGTACGTGAAAGGACACATGATTCACTCCTCTCACATGCTCTCCACCTCCTTTTTGCAACGAAAGCCTGTCCTACCTTTGCTCTGGTTGTTAGTGCTGGGTATTTAGGAAAGGCAGATAAGCTCCATCCACAACAGGCTGATCTGCATTTGTAGGTGCTTTTTCATCCCAGGGTCAGAGGAATGAAAATGTCCCAGGGCTGATCCTCAGGGCATCAGGACCCTATTTCTCTCCTAGAAGGAAGGTTTTCAAATACATCCCTGGGGTGAATGCTTTTTTAGTTTAAAGGGAATTTGTACAGCAAAAAGATTTCTGAGGAAAGCTCTCTTGGAAGGACCTCTGCCTCAGACAAGGCTGACCATTAAGAATAAAGTCCTTGAGAAAGAGCATCAATTGCTCAATTTTACTTTTTTCATTATAATCTCCTTGGAATCCCAGACAATGTGGGTGAGTCCCATCATTACAATAACAGATTTAATGAATAAATTATTAAATAATTTAATAATTAATCGTCTTAATATGTTACTTCATTTCTAACCAAGATACAACTGTGACAAATGCATTTATTGGTTCCTTTGCTATCTCATTCCTCAGAGGTTTTTCTCTTCTCTTTGAGAAAGGAGCCAACTCTTTTCCACTAAAGTCTCCATTTCAGTTTGCTCTTTACTTAACCTTCCCTGCGCCTACCTGAGCTGGTTTCATCTTCATCTGATTGCTTGGCCACTTTATTATGTTTTTTACTGCCGCTTACTAGCCCTTGAATTCTGCTATAGTTCATGTAATTCTCATCATGTGGTTCAGCTCCCTGTGGAATTTTTTTCCCCACAGCACTTATTTACTTTCTCTTTCTGCATTTTTCATTGTCACTGAAACGCCACTTCTGACAACGTTCAACCTCTTCTAATCCCTTCAAAAAACCCTCCACTGTCGGTTATGTATTTATTTACTTCCAACCTACTATAAACTTAAATAGCATTGCTATGTCCACAGAGTGCATGTTGGCACAGATGTCCAACTTGTTTCCCATAGCTACGTGGCATGCTTTCATATTTCTTTGGAGAGTCAAGCTGAGAAAAAATTGTCGTCTTTTTGCCTCTACTTCCTAATCATTGGAGAAGGCCCCAAAAGACACAGCATGAGGAGAGAGGATTTTTACCTGTTTTCTTAGCTGATGACTCAACACACTCATTTCTTAGTGCTTACACAAAAAGGTTTTGGGTGGTTTTCAAGAATAGAAGGGAAAAACCTTTTGCTGTATCTAAAATGTTTTGAGAGCATTTCATGTTGATAAGAGCTCTCTTTCAGTCTCATTAACTGATTGCTTCTCCTTATTTTAATGCACACTGCTCTACCTGGGGACAGTGCTATCTGGCTTTCAAACACCAATGAGCGAGTGGAGATGAGGCTCCATTTTGGTCTTTGCTATGGTGTCACGCTAACTAGACTGTGTCAGACACAACTTCACATATCAGAGATCACAGATGTCTCTTTTTCTTGCTGATGCCTCCTACTAATGCTACGTCAGGTCCTCAGAAAAGGACTCTCCAAGTGATTAAAATAGTCTGTAAGAAGTTGCCCTGGGCTGCCTTCTTAGAGGTGGGCCAACAGAAGCTCATGAGAAGGCAGACCTGGAAGGGCTCTCCCGGCTCCTCAAGTCTGATCACTGGCTGTTATGTCCCCTTGCGTCACATAATAATTCATGAACTGAGTAAAATCCATCCTAGAACTAGTGAGGCTTCCTGCCTTTTCTGCTCTTGCTGAAACACACTGCAGACCTTCAACCTAAATTATAAGGAACTTAATTACCACCCCTGTCTTATTTGTACCTATTTATACACAATGGTCCTTCTGTTATCATTGTCTTTTATCTCTCTCCTTCCCTTTTCAGTTGTTTACTCTCTTTGGAATTTAGCCCTGCATTATGTTTATTGAGAATAATAATCAGCTCTTGGCTTTTTCATTAATAGAGTAATCAAACCACACTTCTCTCAAAAGAGGAATCTCCTACCATGCTGGCTTCTCTTCTCCATGATGCTTGGGTTTAAATTAACCTCTCCAAACACAGCTGACTGGAGCTATCTGCAATTCTCCAGAGAACTGCTGACCAGAGCTCCTCTTCCCTGTGCAGTGCCTGATTCTCCCCTTCAGCTAATGGAAATACCAGTTCATTGGCTCAGCTCTTTCTTTTTCAGTTGCATTCCTATCTGGAGCTACTGGATTATAGCAGTATTCCTGCCATTAGCCTCCAGTGCATGGTCTTTTATATCATACTATTTAATATAATACTTAATATAGTTGTAAAAAGGGGTAAAAATAACTGTACCAGGATTGTTTGTATTTTTCCAGAGTTTAAAATAAGGTTTTTCCATTATTCTTTTAAGATGTATAGAAGACAAGAACAGCATTGTTATTAAATTCTTAGGCTGGATACAAGAACTATGTTGATAGTCATTTTGATAACACTTGATGCTTGCCTAGTGCAAATTTCTGTAAAACCAAGACAAAGATCAAAGCAAATTATCAAGATTCTTTGCCAAGAGAAGTTAATTTTAAATACAGAACACCATTTATTGAAAAATAAATGCCATTCAAAACTTTCCTTTCACCCTATTCAATATGAGATTGGACCTAGAATCACCTTCCTGGAAGTGTATGTAAATGGCAGCATCAGCGTGCAACTGCCAGAACAAAAGTCTGCTAAAAATACTGGAAGTGGTTTTGAAAATTGATGCCAATTCTTGGAATTTCAGGCACTTAAATATGTTCAAAACCCTGATTAGATGAATGGAAATTTCACTCGGAAGGGCTGAGCATTCAGATATGCAATGGCTACATCTTGTTGGGAATCTAGGCCAAATTGCTTTTGAAAATCTCAGTAGGGTGCTTATTTGCATTTTGGCATCAGTATACTTTTGAAAATATGGTGGTAAGGCTGCCATCCATCAAACACTTCAGCAGGTGCTGAGATTTTATGCAAGCACTTGGCTGAGTTTCTGTATTCACATGCTTAAAATTTACCATATGCCTAGCTGCCTGGAGGATCAGAGACCACCTCTGCAGGTTTTAGTCCCTCAAGGTTATATATTTGAAAACTATGGATTTGCCTAGTCTGCAAACAAACTGTAAGCTGACACACTGCACAGTTTCCTCAACCACTTCCCTGAAACTTTAAAAGCAATCCATTTAAGTCAGATAATATTTAACAGAGGGGATTATGGAAAAAGCCATTTCCAAATGAGAAAATTGCATTCATGTTTGTTATCTGCTGTCTCCCCTTCACATATATTACAACTACATATTTATTTTTCTAGTACTACTAGAGAGATTGTGGAAAGACAGTCTTTCTTTCCCTCCCCCCCTCTACAAAGATTGTCAGCAGCATTATCTTAAAGGTGCTGGATGCCATATTGCTTATAGTATTACCAGCACAAATATGTATGATAAGCCTCAAGGCATAGGGCTCAGAGGATAAGTGTGTTTTCTGTGACTCTCTTCTAACCTACTTGCATTTGCTGAGAAAACAGGATGATATCTTCGCGTGTTCAAGTGGGGTAGAGAAGTTGCATTACGCCAGCCTCCTCGGCCGTTTGCAGAAAGTCAAGGAACAGTCCCAAGTGATTAATCAAGCCATGGCTGAGCTAGCAACCATTCCCTACCTGCAGGACATCAGTCAGCAGGATGTCAATAAGGTGAGTATTTATTTCTAATACTTGTTTTGGCCTTTAGAGGCAGGGAGCCAGGGAGGGAAGGGTTGGGGCAGAGCACTGCATTGCAATTTGCTCAGGAAGTCGTTTTTTGAATGCGTGGACCTGAAGTAGTTTTAAAACCTGACTGCAGTGCCTTGTCAGAGGAGGTACTAATCACCTGCAAGGATGACTTTTATAAAACCAGCATGACTCATCTGTAGGCATATTTTTAAAGCCTCTTCTTTTCCCCCAAACGTCCCCAAATCAGTCTGAGAAAATGATTGCAATTATTCAGATCATGCTACTTTAAGATACCTAACATGAGAAGCCACCTGCAGCAGAAACAAGCCGAAACCAGTCAAAGCAGTGGAGCGGGGGGAAAGGAGAGAAAAGATATTCATTCCTGGCTCCATCTACTGCTCGCTCCCCATCTCTGAACAAACCTGTCTACCAGCTATGTTTTGGTTTCCCTTTGTAAAATGAGGGCAGTGATGCATTTGCAAGACTAGAGTCATTCATGGCTTGATAGCAGATCGATAACCCGCCATCAGAAAGCACGTATGGTTATTCTTCCACAAGGCTGTCAGGTTTTCTGAAGGGGCAGGGAGAAAGCTGGCTCGCATACATGCAAATTTTAAGCGTTTCATTCTAGGATAAAACAAAAAAAAAAGTCCCTCTAGAGTCCCTGCATTTAAATGCAATGCAATTTTGAAGATCCAACTTCAGTTCACTAAAAACTCTTGGTTTTCCCAAAGCCGGTCCCTTGACATTTGTTTGCAGTCCTGCAAAGCTCCTAAGCTCTGTAGAATTAAAGCTTCACAGCAGCTTGCTTTAGGGAAGACGAGCAGCGGCCTGCAACTGCAGGAGGTGGTTGCCAGGCTTTGAAGTCTGGGCTCGAGATAAGGGGAAACGACATTGCAAAGAAACTGTGTTATTAAACGACATCCTCCTTTTGATGCAAGTTTTCTAGTATTAAACTTCAGCAGGCCCACATTTTAAGGCTGACTAAAGGATCTGGAGTTATTGGTATGTATTTCAGCGATAGGTTTTTCTCCAGGGTACAATATTTTCAGTACATCACACGTTAGGCAGAGGCTATTACGCTGTTGCCTGTATCTTGTCATGTAGCAGTCATGAGCCTGACCTCCCTAGAAAGCTTTTTGGGGGAGGCTCTAGGCCACCTGAGACAAAGGTCTTCCATCCCTTAGGGGTAGGACTGGGCAGAACGAGGGCCTGCACTGGGAGATCTGAGTGACAGGTTGTAAATCTTTCAACAGAACACATATGCTTTGTTTACTAAACCAAGGGTAAAAGTGTTTTTTAAAAGAATAAAAGCAGAAAATTTCTAGCAGCTATCCTATCCAGAGCATTAAAATGTATTAATTCAGCATTCATTTATTTTTCTTTGTCCTGTCATCCTGCTGTAAAAATATATCTGAGGTCAGCGTGTGCAAAAGGAGTCACAAATGCTTTGGAGCTAGAATATTGTAGTAAACTTCAGGCAGCACAGTGGTAAGGCACAAGACTGCAAGCAAGAACCTGCAGTGTCACTTCATCAGGGAGTGATTAATGGGCTTTACCTTTGCTGGTGGCATCAGCACCCATGGCACAGGCTCTTCTTATGCCAGCACAGACCGTTTCCCTACCACATCCCAACCGCATCAAGCACAGAGTGCTGCTGTTTCTGAATGCCCAAACTATCCAGGGAACGAGAAAAAGATCGCCACTTGCTCAGCCTATGTCTCATCCTCCTCATTTCACCAGGGTCCAGGCAGGATGAAACATTCACAGGACTGAGCTGTGCTGGTGGAATTCAGCATCCCTCAATGGATGCTGCAGGGGCAGACCCACCATGTCGGTGGGGTCAGGATTGCAGCACCCATGCTAACTCCAAGGGCTTCTCACTCTTCAACAATATTTCCAAGAGATATCTAAATTTTTCCATGAAGAAAACTGAGCTGGCCAAATTCTAATCTCACTTGTACTAATAAAAATTTAAAGTAATTCCTCTGAGGTCATTCTGACTTCACATTGGTAAAACTGAGATAAGACTTTATGACCAAGCAAGGCAGTTAAATTCTGAGAGTTAGAAAATGGTAAAGATGCCAAATGTTTATTATCACATACAGTATAACTTGCATAAAGTCTAAAACACACTGAATTTATAGTAGTGCAATTTGCACTGATACAGCAAAGATCCCAAAAGCATTTCAGTTATAAACTCTTCTGTGTACATGCCTTCCTGTAACTAAAGAGAGTCCTAATCTGTGGAACAGAAAACCTCAAGTGAGGCCTTTTTAGATCGGTATTTATTCATAGACCCTGGGAGAACAAAGATTGCAGTTAGCTTGAATAGCTGAATTTAACCGGGAAAAAGCCCTGTAGAAAATCTTTCCAAGGTTTATGGTTTCAATGTCACCATATTTGTACATCGTAAATCAAGATGAAAGCTTGTTAAAAAGCAGAAATCTATTTCAATTTAAAAATCAAATGAGGACAAGATTTTTTTCTTAAAATGCAGCATTTTTCCTTGGAGGAGATTTTCCAAAAATCAGCTTTGGAAGAATTACTGTGCCTTGCCAACTGTCCGCTCTTGTAGTCTGTGCATTTTCTCTTCCAATAGAACTGATGAAAAACTTTGGGTGATAAAAATTAAAACCAGAGCTCAGAGTGGATTGGAAAGGTTTCTTCTTTCAACTTCTTGCCCAAAGCAGTGAGGTCCCCTGTTTGGTTGGGGTGTTGAAGCAGCCCCATGGGCCAGCAGACTGATGTCCTGCTCCCTGGGCTGGTAGCTGCTGTTCAGCCTGTTCTTCAGAAAGAATCACTCCAAGAAAAGCGATGGAGAAATCCTCCCCTTCCCCTGACCGGTTCCTCCTCTGCCCGGTTTGACGCAGGATCTGCACTTTGCCCATTCTGCCCTTAATACCCTTAATCTCTGGGCTGTCTCTAGTCTGGATTCATAGAAGGAGATTATCTGTCATAAAAGTATTGTGATGGAAAATTTCTGACAGGTTCTTGAGCCTGTTTGCATTAAAGTCAGAAGCAGAAATTTGTAGTTTTGTTTTTCATGAATACTGATGCATGACTTCAAAAAAAAAAGTTTTCATCAAATATTTGGACCAATAAAATTCACCTGAATGGCTGCAGAAGTACAGAGAAAGTAGGCTGGAACTAACCACAGCAAATTTATTTAGAGAGTCGAAGGAAGGTTCCTGCAGCCTTTTAGCCAGTGTTGGGATACAGACAAAAAATTATAATTTCAAAAACCTGCATGTGAAGGTAAACTTGAGGAAAAACAGATCTGCTCCTTGAACCTCAAGACAGCATTTTTATATCTTGCACAGATGAGCCAAAACAGTGATGTTGTAAATTCCATCACCTTACATACTCAGATGCCTGTCTAGGTACAGAGAGAGACAATTTACGAACGCTTACGCTTATACTGCCTGATTACTTGTAATGAGTAACAAGTTTGGGAAGAGACACCAAAAACTATTGTTTGGGTCCACCTTAACCAGCTAAGCATTTTGGAATAGACTTACTAGAGCACAGCAATATCACAAATATTAAATACAAGTTTCTCCAGCTTGTTCCTAAACGCTGGTGCTGATGGCTGCGCACAGGAGGAGACCTGGATCCAACCCTTGTCTCTTTGCTGCTGAGTCAGGAGCAACTGAAATATTTTCAAGTATTTGGGAAGGGTGCAGGGTGAGATAATACTGTGACTACCCTGGAAGAGTGAGGCAATACTACAGCTAACCCAAATTTTAGGCTTCCCTCTAACACTAAGGACAGATTAACAAGTATTTTCCTACAGGTTCTTTTTATAGTTTACACTAGAAACAGTCAGCCTTGGTTTTATGCTCTGTTATGCTGAATGATGAGGAGAAGGGAGAGTTTGCCAAAGAAAAGGATAGTAAAAGCAGGGAAAATGAGCTAGATAGTTCCAGCTACAGTAAAAGCATCTCAGCTTTAGTGTTGTCCTCTTGTGAGGTTTTACATGCTGCCTTAAATTATGATACATTAGCCTTGGGAGAAAATACTAAAAAGCATTCATGTACGACACAATATCCCAGACAGCTAAAGAATGAAATATGGAGCCTTTATTCTTTACAACCCAAGTCTTCCTTTACTAAGTATAAACATTTACTGCATTAAAACGTATAGGCTTAAATACAAATTTTCCAAAGGATTTTTTCCCTTTGTTAAGTATTTTATATCCACAATAATACAGTGTAATGGCTGAAGCAAAGATGAGGTGGCAGTGCTCATTGTGTGAAAGATGAGTAATAAAATCATCAGCTTACAAATGATTTTTTAATTAGGTTTTAATCTGTGTATTTAGAGAAGTTATTTCTGTGTGAATTCCACACTGATAATTTTTATCTTGGTGCCACAGCTGCGGTTGCTAATGGCAGATGCCATGGACACCCTTGAAGGAAGAAGTGAGAGCGGACGTGTGTGGAATAAAATTCAGAAGGTAAAAACCTGCCGCAAAGGGCAGGAGAGTATATTGTTCCTTGGGGAGTGTATGTCCACCTGAGTGATATCTGCTCAAAAGGTAGAAGAGAATGTAGGTGCCATTTGAAACCTGACTCCGTGCCTTGAACTCTGTTAATGCTCAGGCACTAGCCCCAAATACATATTTATTATTTGCCTTAGCCCCTGTGGTTGATCTTTGTCCATGTTAATAGTGTCATGTGGTTATCTAATGCGAAAAGAAAAGAAAAAAAAACCAAACCTGCACACAAAGACCAAGAACAGCTTGTTTTTGGCTGATAATTATACTTCTCTTCCACCTTTTTCATATGGGGTACTGTGCTAATTGGAAGGAGGGGGGGAGGTGTTGTTAGAGAATAAAATTCAGCCCAACAAATTAGGTCCCTTAGTGGAGCTCAAATGAGGCTTTGGTGATGTGAGAGGTAAAAGACATGTAAATGCCTTTCTGGAGTCTCTGCACAGCAACCGCTCAATTTAATTCTTAAAGGATTTGTGGAACGCGGGGAGCCTTGTGTTGGTTCTCTGTATTGATGAGTCTGACCCATGTAATGAATAACAGGTCAGGCTGGGATGGAATAGGAGTATCTTACATTTTTACAAAGCCCTTCAAACCAAAGCAAATCACAGCTCTGGGCATTCGGCCCCATTGACATTCAGCCACTTCTGAGGAAAAGGACAGCCACACTCCACCAGGAAGGACCAATGTTGCCAAGAGTTGGTCTTACCCCCCCGGCTTATGGCTCCACCAGATCCCAGGCGGATGAGTGCTCACTCTAGGTCATGGCTGCAGTGGGAGGCTGGAGAACAAAGGGTTTCTATTTCTGCACTCGTGGGACTTGAAATTGTCCCTCTTTGGGATATGGGGTTTACAGACAGATCTCAGGGAAGATACTGAAAACCCAAGCCCTGGCTGCACTGAGTCCGTGTAACCAGGATAAGCAAATAAGACAGAGGTCTGAAACAAATCACAGGGGTGGAGGGTCAAGGCACTTTCAGAGACCATTGAAAGAGAGTAAATTTAGATTGGACATCCAGGAAGGAATTCTTCCCGGAGAGGGTGGGGAGGCACTGGGACAGGTTGCCCAGAGAACCTGTGGATGCCCCATCCCTGGGAGTGTCCAAGGCCAGGCTGGATGAGGCTTGGAGCAACCTGGTCTAGTGGAAGGTGTCCCTGCCCACGGCAGGGGGGTTGGAACTAGATGATCCTTAAGGTCCCTTCCAACCCAAACCAGTCTGTGATTCTATGTAGCCAAGTGATTTGAATTAAAATTTCAGAAGGCATCTCCTCTGAGTGAGCATGTGTAGGTTAATTGCCTCGGTTAGCTGTCAGGTCAGTGGCTCTTAATACAGTTTTCCAGGTACAGAATGTTTACTGAAAGTAACCAAAACCTAAATGCCTATAATTATAGACAGACTGGGTTTTATCTTTCAAACACTCATGAGGCAAAACAAAGGATAAATATGCAGACTGCTTTTACACTGCACCAGGATAGTCTCTAAAGCCCTCACACTTACCTACAGATCACATGAGAATCTTTTGCAACACGAACACTAAATACAATACACAGTTATATATATTTATACAGTTACATATGTATTTCCTGCTATATATAATAAGCATTAATAATGAGATTAAGGCAAAGAGTTAATGATATATTTACAAATATCCAATTCCATGTACTTCTCCAGCACTTATCCCTCCCATTTTCAGACAATACACTGAATTATCAAAGGCAGTTTTATAAGGTTGTTCCAAAAGTCAGGATTTTAATCCACAGTTAGGTGTTTGAATAACCAGCCTGATTTTTCACAACTCTAAATGCTCACAGTTCCAAGGCTGCTGAGAAAGGCTTGTGGCTGAAAGTTAGACCAAATGCATGGATATCTAAATATTTAGTAAAGTCTCATTAAAAGATTTTTGTTGGTACCAAAACAATTCCCACATATTTCAACAGACATTGGCTAATATTTCACTGTAAAGTTGTCAAAACAAAGTATTTTCTTTAGGTGTATACATGTCTATGAATGTACATCCTGTATTTCTCTGCATACTTTTAATTTCAGCATAATCTTAATGGAAATCAAGCTAACATTTAAATATTGACTGGTATCCCATATTATGCACAGATTCATGTGGCATAATTTAATATTCGGGAATAAAATTCACTCAATCCATGAAAATCTGCTTTCTGCCATTTTAAAATCTGGTGCTTCAAAATTTGTTTGCGTTCTGAACATAGTTCTGCATTTCATTTTTGACAACTCAACTATTTGATTTGGGGCATCTTGTTCCACACGGAACTCACTGTTTCATAATACAAAAATATTTTTCTATATTATATCAGAACAAAGAGAATGAAAAGCATCATCAAATTCTTCTTTTCTACTTTGCTTTTTCCAAAATTGAATCTCAGCACATTCAGCATGTTCTTAGGAAAAAGTACTTTTTTAATAGCAGAGACAGGAAAACACTCAGGGAGCTTGGGGTTTTTGTTGGGTTTTTTGTTGGTTTGTGGTATTTTTCCTTAAATCAGCACTAATTAAGAGTGTTACACTAGGTTAAAGAGTTCTAATACATTAGTAAGGAGGGAGATTAAATCTTACGATTAAAAATCCATGTGGTGTGGATTACAGTATGTCACTTGTGCTAAAACCATTTCATAAGGTTCAGTATTTCTCAGTTCACTCATCACACGACACTGATTGTAGTAGCCTACAAAGAACCTTCACACAGATCTAGTTACAAGGTAGTTATTTGTATTTTTGCTATTGAATTAATTTACATATATTGGAAAGCAAAAAAGAACATAAAGGACTTTTATATAACCAGCTACAAAGGCAAAACTCTGGAAAGCTGACAGCTACGCTACCACCAATAAAGTTTGGCTTTTGCAATATAAACAGCTGTTGCACCTAATGAAAGCACTCAAAATTTTTCTCTAATGCAGCAGAATTATAGCAGTGCCTATTTTCCAAATGGTTGAAGGATTGGTCAGAATTGCCGTTACAAACCAGTGTTTTATATTCTAGAGTCAGCCATAAAAAAATTGTTCAGGCTGAAATCTGACACAGAAGGGCACAAAGCCTGACACCGAAACACTTCTCCTTCTGTCACAGTGGAGGGCTTATCAAATTAGCTTGAAATTAATCTGGGCAATTTTGAATTTACAGGAGTGACAAAGTAGTAATATATGTGTAGCTTCAAGTGTTTTGGGTGCTGTGCTGCTCATCCAATTCACTGACAAATTTATGTTTGTAAGCGAACTAGTTTATCAAATGGGCTAATTATTTTGGGAAGCTTTAAATACAAAGAAATGAAAAATGACCTCGTAATTAGCTGGAGAAAAGAGAACATCACTGCACATCATTTTTTCAGCATTACCAGGTTACAGACTCTCCAGCCACACGGAGAGCTGACCTTGGGAGATTAAGCAACATCTTCCTACAGAGGCTTTACCCACGTACTAGATATCCCTGAAGAATGCCTCAGAGGCAGGAAAAATGGGCTGCGTCAGTCTCCCAAAATCCCTATTCTCCAGGGTTTTACTGACACTTTTTCTTGCAATCCCCTGGATAAAATGTCAGCTTTGTATTAGCAATTTGGGGAAACAGACACCTGGATGTAAGACCTTTCAAGCAATTATCAGAGGAACTGAATCCCAGTCTACCTCAGGAATATTTTCCTAAAAAAATTTTTACCACCTCCCTTTTTTTTTTTAAAAAAAAAAAAAACTGAGCTTTGTGGTGGCCAGACTGCTGAGCGTTCCAGAGGATTCCAGGCACCACACTAGGGTTTAGGAATTTTTCTTCAGTTACTGGCTGTGTCCAAATGGTACTACAGGTTGAGTCGCAAAGGTTGAAGTGTAAATTCTCTTGTTTCAAATTATATGTGCATTTATTATTTTAAAGAGACTGACTAGCATAGCCATTTGAACAATGACCTCCAAAGCACAAGGATCAGCAGCAATGAGCAGGAAACTTCCAAGAGAGATCAAGGGGAACTAACCTGATAATTCAACTCGGTCCAGCCACTGGGTTTTAGGCAAGTTGAGGCCCAGCTGTAACAGCCAGGTCCGGCCGTTACTGACTAGCTTCTCTGCTGACAGTTACATACGCTGTGAACATGAATGCTGGACTAGCAGTAAAGCTTGGCCCTGAGTAACTCAAGGAGCCACATCTCCACATGGCCACTGCAGGACTCTACAGCAGCCACAGACAGGCAGAGCGGGTTAGATTATCTCAGATAAATAAAATGGCAGAAAGGCTTCCCTTGTGCTGTATAGAGCCTTTGCTTCCCTGCAGTCTTGTAAGAGAAAAAATAAAGAAATAATAAAAGAAATTACCTTTCTATCCCATAAGAATAAATTCATTAATAAAGCCTCACAATATTGTTATAATGAAAGGCATTTCATTAAATAAATAGACACTTTAGAGCCTATCAACCAGAAACTTTTGACATCCAAGGAGAGGAGAGCCAAATAAGTGCAAGTGCCAGTATGGCTCTGCTTCTCCTGTGAAGATAATAATGTAGTTCTACTTCTCCATTTAGCCTCTAGGCTTTCATAGCAGTTTCATAGGATTCTCTTAACATCGTTTGAACAGCCAAAGGATAGACAGGAGTTGGCAAATAAACACTTTCCTGCACTTCCACATGTGAGACACTTCATAAAACCTTCACATCTGAGTTTACCTCAAGGGCATCACATACTTTGCAATTTAGATAAGTTATTACGCCCATCATTTGCTGAGCTCAGTAGAATGCCTGTTTCATAAATCTGAAAGCAGAGCAAACATGGATGAGTGAATAAAAGAACAGATGTAACTTACATAAGGATAAGTATATAACAAAAGCTGCACTAATATATGTGAATATGAAATGAAGTAAAATTAGCCTAATGTATTATATAATCTTTTAGCCAGGCACACAGATTTTCAGCTGTTGACCTCTGCTTACTACGTCTCTGCCTTTAGCAACAGCAG